CTAAAATGTTGATATAACCTAGATTTTTAGGAGTTTTTTCGAATGATTTATTAAAAAATAGGGAGTCCCGTGCAAAATTTGAGGGTTTTGCCCTGTTGAAGCTCAAAACGCGTATGGTTCTTCAATAAAATCTTGTAGATTTTTCAGCGGTTTTTGAGCGCGCGCTCATCGTGGGCTCAATTCGAACGTTCAAAAGTAGGCAGCCACCTTAAACAAGTCACTCAAGGGGGAAGGGAGAGAATTCTCGCATTTGGGTTTCCTGTGATACAAAAGCACAGGAAGCCTACTAAAGGGATCACGATTCAAAGTCAGAAAAATCTAGATCACATGCCAAATAGTACAAATGAACAGAAAATAAAATAAAGATATACTGAAGATCTTTGATCAGGGATCGAAACGTCTAATTGCAAAACATAAAAAACTCAGAGGAAGTAAAAATAATCATAAACATGACTACTGACTTACTGCAAGCTATATATTTATAACCAAGGTAGCCAATCGGCACCTTCGGCATTTTGGTACAGAGGCATGCTTTATTTGATAATATTTGGACCAACACTCAGAGTCTTAAAATAACTGAGGAGAAAGTGCTGCCTTTGTAATTACATCTGCAAATGGTTAGACCTTCAAGACTTCTCGGACAAGGACTTAAAAGCGTAGGCCCTGTCTCCCAACCCTTCCTAACCTACAGTAAAATGGGGGACATAAAAGAACCTGTTGAATTATTCGCATAAATGTAGGGGATTGTCTCCCGGTTCAACAGCCTATCCCAATTTGGAGGCATAATACTAATCTACTATCAATTCACACTCATGATTGTAAGCTGTACGCGTGCTGCTAATAGCGCCTTAATATGCAGCCCGTGAAGTCCTCCACTGCTCAAAATTGTAAGGCGCATTGAGATATTTGAAATGCGCTATATAAGAAACTACCATCAAACTCTCATTATTGTAAACGTCACTGGACCACCTCGAAAAGAAAAAGAAAAAAACCTGTACGGGAATAATTGAATTAGTCCCTCAACTAACTCAACTTGGATTTCACTATAATTTTCCTATGCAAAGCTTTGCGGTTACACATACATACATTGGTTTCCAATGGACTTGACGATATATACAGCTATATATAAACGGACTGGGGGCAAGTCAAAACTGAAAGATGAAGGAAAATATATCGAGTTTCGTGTGTTTGTCTTTCTTTCATGGGTAAAGCTAATGGATTGTACTGTATCTTGTGGTGAACTGTTAATATCAATCGACGTTATTACTGTAAACAAAGCTTTATTTGCACCCTGGATACCCCATAATGCCCTGCGATCCAAGATGGCCGCCGTAGCACCTCGAAGTAGTCCATTTTGCCCAGTGTACATATCACTTTTGTAACTTAATTTAGTCTTAAGTTTTTTGTGTGGATAGAGCGTGTTTATCATCATTCTTTGTCTCTTGATGCCCAACTAATGGCATTCAAATCTGTTTAGTAGCTTAACGGCCAGCTCCTCTTGACCCTCCATTATTAACAACTTAGCCAAGGATTTCTTACCGTCGCCTTTCGATTCTCTTGTCATTTTTGTGCAAGTTGTCTTTCAGTGCTCGCTGCATGGTCCCGGCCTCTGGCTAAAAAACAAATTTATCCCGTCTTAGGGCAAAACGTGACAATAGCACAGTAGTGTTGAAAAGAATTTGAGAATGTTTTTTCAATAGCGCGCTGAAGGTATGCCACATGGAATTTTGAGCTAGCATTGTTCATGGCACTGTATTCGTGCCGAAACACTGTAACTTTACTATGCGCAGGCCCTATTTCAATTTGGGGGGGGAGGGGGGTTACTATGAATAGATAGAGGTGACTTACGTTTCAGGCATAGGTTTCTAATAGTGTCACTCGACGTCATTGTCACTCCCACTCTTAAGAGCCGAAATGTCCGCAAGATAGAGGGTATTAAATACATATTGATGGAAGGTAGAAAAATTTAAAACAAACAACTTGAAATACAATCAATATATCATCGATAAGAAGTTCGATAGTAACGTTTCAAACATAACATAACAAGTATAACATTTTGTCTGATCATTAACGCGCCCTCACACCGGAAACAATTGATTAAATAATCATTGACAAGACCTCCGACAGCTGAGTAATAAGACTCAACCCGTACGGCGATTGTTCATTTGGTTTTTGGATCTAGGGTGGACGGTTCCATGGTAGCAGCTAGTACACTCGCCTCGAGATCACTTTGTAGGTATATGTACTGAGTGATACTTCTCAACACTCTCTACTGATGACTTCTAGTAAAAAATTAATACAAAACTATATATTTAAGATACTATGTGCAATTTTTTATCTTTTTATTCTTCACTAAAATATCACAATGTTTTACACTAATCTGGCCGTCCATTTTAACTAAAACTAATGAGAATAATTCTTATTAGCATTAGCAACTTAGTGTGTACTTCCTAAGAACGCGCGCGTTCATTGGTTATTTCGAGGTGAATATTGTACGATATTCACCTCTGAATTACAAAATGACATCGTTTTGGAACAATTTCCAATGAGGAAATTGAAAAAGATGAAAGTAAATGCCGTTCCTATCAATACTAAAAAGGTAACGAAGTATGGCCTAAAAGTTTTGCTAAAAGTTTTGCGTGAATTTGAATTTGTGAAGTTTCTGTTTGTTTTTATTGAATTATTTTTATAAAAGATTAAGTTACTCTGTACACAAGTTGGTATATGCTTAAACAATTATTCGCCTCAGGCTCAGTGAATATGGAGAATATTTACCTCGCCGCTCGAAGACTCGCGTCCCGGTACTATTCCCCGATATTCACTTCGCCTTCGGCGAATAATTGCCAAATAAACTATCTTTTATTATCTGTGCTTTCCTTTATTTTATTTTGACTCTCAATATAGTTAAATATCATTGACGCTTTTTGTACGTTTTCATCGTAATCTTCATTAGCCTTTTTCAAGTGATTTTCTAGATCATTTCCACGATTTGTTCGTATTCTTCTAGGATTTTTTTTCGAGTCCTGTCCGCCTATCAAAGGCATGCGCTCTGTCTGCTGATTTTTGGAAAACCTTTGCAACTCCTTTGCCATCGCGTTGTTGGCGTTATCTCCACAATTGTGAATATTCTCATTTCTGTTATAAATATTTGCATTTTTTCCTACAAATGATGTTCTCGTTCCATCTAGTGGTTGTAAAACACTAAATTTCGAGAGTTTTTTGGAAAGTTCGTTTTGAGAGTCCAGTTCGCTAAGTCCTTCTTGTTGCAGCGTCTTCTGATGGTCTGAAGAAAGAACAAACACCCTTTCTGTATTATCTTGACCTTGAATGCTTTTTCTGAAGTCATTTACCGGTGCTGATACAACTTTATGTTTTATTTCTCCTCTTCTTGTAACTGTAATAGCTGTCATTGGTCGCCGGACAACGTTTTCTGAAAGCACCAAATTATTTTTACCAAGAAATGCTGCCACTCTAGATGCCCCAGGGTTTTCTAAAGCTACCTTTGTCGGTATCTTTGGCAAGCCGTTGTCTTTTAAGTTATTCGTCTGTTTAGATGAAACGTTTGGATTGAAATGCAGTGGAAAATCTTGTAGAAGTGTTCCCTTTGACGATTGCAGAACTGTGGTACTTTTATACATTCTTCAATGCTGTAATGACCTTCACGTTCAAAAAGAATTTATTAGGAATTTTCACCACCGTCTTTTCGCTATGAAACACAGCTATAGACTGACCTAGACTTTGAGTGCACTCTCTTTATATAAGCCTGCCAGGCCCACGCTTTGTTAATTGGATAACTAATTCCCGTAAAAGTCCCGTAGTGCGGACGTGCCACTTCTTGTGGTCAAACTTGATCCCATCATATTACCCAAAGAAGTGCCAAGCACCGGGCTGTTTCAATAAAACTATCACCACAAAAACTCAACTTTTGACCTCCATAGAGTGTTTTTATTGGTCCTTTATTTGCTGTTATATAAATTATCATTGCTTAAGTCAACATCTCAAGAGAGAGCCATGACACGTACCTGCATTCGATCAGTTTTAATTGGCCCGCCCTTGACGAGTCAGTTCAGTCCTAATTCACTGATGCATGATCCATATATATCAATATATAGTTGCCTTGACTGTCTGTCTGCTAAAAACGGTTCTTGTGTTCTAGTGAAAGTCCTAACAACCTTTCAAAGACAACTTACAAAATAGTTCACGCAGTTAGTATACGATATACGATCAAGCTTTCAATTCTTTTTTCAATTATCACCATTCARTCTAATAGTTTATCTGCGCCAATGTCGTTTCTCAGTATAATTACAAGTTGTATATATTCACGATTAAAACAGTACAGACAATAATCGTTTTAAATTCAGTATTAATCTTTGTGGTTATTGTTCTTTATTTTTCTAGAAGAATCGTTTAATGAGCGCTTTCAGTCAAGGAATGCAATGATTGTATTTTCCAATAGGAGCGTAACGGTACTGATTTGAAAAGTTCCTGGTATATCTGTACGACCTTCGACTTTCCAATTAATTGCATGCCATTTATTTATTGATTTAAGAGCTGAATCTTTTCATTGCCCTTTTGTCAATAAATTTTCTTAATCAGATTGATCGCATGCACGGACTGAGAGAATATTGTCTTGACGGTCGCACTCATTGTCAAAATTCAAGTGGGTGGTGGCGTAGTCTTCTCTCTGGACTTTGGATTTCATTGGTGTACACTTTTATACCATTTTCACCATCAAAACTTTTTTGGACTATATTTTGATTGCATTTGACAGTAAACAATTGAATTGATATCCGATATGAAAACGCTGGCTCGACCTTCAGGGGTTTTTCTTCTACGCTACACTGCCCAGTATTATATTGTTTAGGGGATTAATGTTGGACGAACATTTCGTGTAAAACGTGGTCACTATTTAAATGCACGTGAGGACTTGCTTTGATGGTAATATTGAGCTATTCTCTTTATATTTCACTGCTCAGTATTGTTCGGGGGCTCATATGAGCACGAGCACGTGCATGACGAAAATTACGCATAAAACGTGAACAGTATTTAATGCACGTGAGGGAGTTTTGAGGCTTTGACACTATTCGAATGCACGTGATCAAATGCTTTTGAACATAATATTAGGTATCATTACACCAGAGTTAATTAACTCTGATTACACCTTACTCACTATCTCGCTTCTTTTTGGCCAAGAAAATCCAGCTAATCCCTGATCTATAACATATGAACTTCACATGTTAAATTTATCATTTATGAGGTTTTTCTGTAGATATATATATATTGATCATGTCAAGTCCATTCAAGGTGATGGTGATTCAGTGGAGGCCGTGATTGCGTGGAGGGGACTGGAGAAAAAAATGACACCGTTGACCGCGAAGAAATGACTCTACTTCTAAGAAGTGTTCTCGTTGAATAACCGATTAAGAATAATAGAAATAAGATTATCTATAAACACACAAAAAAATTGCCTGTAACTAGAAATAAAAGAAAGTTTATTTCATTAGATTTTTTGAAGCTGGTAAAGAACCCTAAAGTCTTTTTTACTGTAACCCCGGAAGGTTTCAAGGAACTGCCAGCAGTTACTCATGCATTTCATACACAAATTCCAACGAGAAAAAGTGTGATTTGTTTTGTATTTTCATGTTAGCCTCGCATTCGAGACAATATTCGAGAAGGGTCCATCGCCGTCGGGAGAAGGAGCAAGATAAAGTAAGGCACTTAGGGCTGGGCACATGCATGTCGGCACTGTATGGTTGAAGTTTGAGCGACGAGTCAGCTTTGTACGTGTTCTAATTAAGATAGCTATAAATTAATAAGGTTAGAAGGTAAGTATTATTTGTTTGCTTAAAGATCATTTCACTTGTCAGGGATGATGGAGATTCGTGCAGAATATAATCTTACTGCTCCAAGGTTAACGTCACGGGAGATTGAAATACCAAGGAAATTTAAAAAATTATTTGCCCAAAGTTAATCCTAAGTACATGAACATTGATTATGTCAGCATGTTTTTCATTTCTATGAACAACGTTCTTAGGCGTGTTGTTACAGCATAATTACGCCATAGAACATGGTCTTTTGGCGGGCCAGTAATCCCAGTAACTTTCTGAAGAAAATTGTAGATGATCAGTCGTGGAATTTTTTCTAATTTTTTAAATTGAAAAAAAAATTTTTTTTCTTTCTTTTTTTCTTTCTTTTTCATTGAAATGCACTAAATTTTCGGAAACACTAGAAAAATCGATCGATTTGAGATGTTGGAAATTAAAGATGTTGGAAGATAAGCTGGAAGTCAGTTCTCCAACCTTTTGGACACTACCTTCCATGGTATGGAAATATGTTGGGTGTCTTCACTTCTGACATTCTATACTTATTTTCCGTTATCTGGAGCGCGCACGATTTTTCCAGTGAAATAAGATCGAGTCGTCAAACCATTATAACCTTCGACTTTGGATGACGAAATTTAGTGACTATATTAAAACTCGAATAAATATGAACGAGGCTAACAGAATCATTCATGAACACGAACTACCGGCTAGATGTTTCATTCATTTCCGCCAAGAGAATATGAAGTAAGCTTACTTCACATTCTCTTAGTGTTTACGCTTATTTCCGGGTATACCTAACAGTGGCGGATCCAGGATTTTTCAAAGGGGGGTTCCGTTTCTTAAACTGTGTATAATTCTCTTTTGTTTAGTCGATGTTTGACAAAAAATTGGCTCTAATCACCTAATTTACTATCTAGTAACGGAACTTAAAGGTAAATTAAACATCATAACAGCAAATATCTATCATTTCGTGTTCAACATTATCGTTGTGGATACTTTTAAGCAAAATTTATATAAGACATATTTCTATTACGTAAAAGATCAAACCTTCAAGGGGGGTTCCGTGGACCCCTTCGAACCCCCCTGGATCCGCCACAGCCTCATGTCAAATATTATAAACAAAAAATATATATTCTAAAGCTTCATTTACGTCATCATTCAAGGCTTATAAGTCTCAGTTATTCTTCTACTGCAAAGGTCTGAGTATCATAATATGATAACCTTTTCTTATGATAAGTGTTGTGGACTTGTGGAAGAAGATTTAAACCATCAATGACATCATGCCAAAACTGTCGCATTATGGACTTTTCTAAAGATAATTTTTTTCCATTTATCACATCCCGAACGCGGCCACATGGAATGGTATGGAATGGAGTGACCATGGGTGCTAAGCCATCAGCTAGCGACACAGGTAAGACTTTACCGCTATAATAACATTTGAAAAACCTGTCTGGTTTTCTAAAGCCAGTTGGAAATAAAGCRCCATAAGTGCGCTCTAGAAAATATAATACGCTAACTTATAAAGGATAACTTGAAGGAAAATGGCATGATCAAATGTTCTCAGCTTTTTTTGATCAAGATTTTAGTTGTTTTTTGCCGACTCAAAATTAAGGGTTTAGTTAGAAAAGCTACTGGGCAAGGAGCCACCTTACAAAGTTGAGGTCGTTTGACCCTCCCCTCCCTAGCGAAGTAATTAGTTGCATAGTTCCCAGGATTCCTTTTATTTATCTAATGGCGGATGTGTTCATGATGAGTTTTCGTCGTCTTTATTCTTGAATTTCATTTTAAGCGGTTGAATGGGCAACGTAAACGATTCCGATGCTTTAATCGAGCAGAAACCTAAAGGCACTCAGCTTTTATATGCCGCTGAATATGGAAAACTAGATTTTTTGGAAGAAATTTTGAAGGATACTCTGGTGGACATAGACTCTGTCAATAGCTCCGCATTAACTCCGTTGCTTTTAGCCTCGAAAGAAGGTCATTCGGACTGCGTTAAAACACTTCTAGAAGCAGGTGCCAAGGTTGATGGCGTGGGAGATAAGAATACAGCTTTGACACCGATTTGGATTGCGACTTATTCAGGCCACGAAGAATGTGTTGAATATTTATTACAGGCAGGAGCGAACTTGGACTCAAAGTACCCTGTGACTCCATTATACATAGCGGCGAGTGAAGGCCAATCTGGCTGCCTTCAATTGCTTATAAATGCTGGGTCAAATCTTGAAGTTGAGAATACAAGATTACAGACTCCGTTAATCGTAGCTTGCAAAGGACAACATACACAATGTGTTGAGCATTTGGTAGGCACTAGCGCTAGCATTGAGGGATAGTATTTCTAAATCAAAGCAATGATAGCTCATGCGCCAACATTTTATAGGATAAGAAAGAGGATAAGATGCCATGTCTGTGTGCAGTGTGATTGCATGACATCAATTCACATGATGCAACACTGTAAGATAGAGATAGTGTCACAAATGCTTGGGGGCACTGAAATATTATATTTAACGCTATGTGATAATGACCACTGTTTTGTTTTGTAGGGGACCAGGGCCCCCCCAAAAAATTTTGTGGGGGGGGCACATGCCCTCCTGATTCCGCCGCCCCTGCTATTCTAATGCTAGTACATTGCGAGACAGAGATAGTGTTGTAAATGCTTGTTGCAGAGAGGGCAGGATGCCTTTCCATGCCATGTCTGCACATTGTGATTGCATGATATCAATTTCAGTGCCAAATCACTATATGATATAGATAGTGCGATGAATGCTTGTTGCAAAGGGATGTCATGCCATGCAATGTCTGTGTGCACAGAGTGATTGCATGACATCAATTTCAATGCATCAATTTTCAAACTGAGGTGAGATAGAGGTAGTGCCACTAAAAGTTATCTTCTAGACTTTATGCATTAGTACAGTGTTGCATGGCATTAATCAGCATTATTATCATTTTGTTATCACTATCTTTAGGTATCAGCTGGTTCTGAAATCAATATTACTGATAAAGATGGCTTTACTCCTTTGTATTATGCTTGTTCTTATGGACCTGATGGAAATGAGATATTAGAGGTACAGAGAAACACCTAAATTTTATATATATTTGTTTATATCTATCCTGCTTCCCTATAGCTTTTGTTTTCTTCCTTTTTCTTTCTTCCATTTTTTTTCTTTCCTTTTCTTTTTTCTTTGCTTACTCCTTTTTGCATTCCTAAAATTAAATTTTTTTTCTTCTCTTCTCATTTCAATTTCCCCTTATTTTCTTTCTCTCCTTTCTTTTCTTTTTCTCCATCCTTTCCTTTATTTTTTCAATATGATTTTCTTATGTCTGCCCACCTCAATTATTTCCTTCTATTTTTCCAGATACTGCTTAGTGGTGGAGCTAATATCAATCAGATCTGTGAACATAAATCATCTTCTACACCTTTACACATCTGTGCTAGTAGAGGTAAGGTCAAAAGCACAAGACTCCTGTTACTGTATGGGGCATCAGTAAAGGTAAAGGATTCAAATGGCCACACACCACAACAACTGGCTGAACCTGATTGTAGAGAATTGTTAGAAGGTAACTGCAATAAGCTTAGAACCATATTACAGTGTTACCACTAAATAAGCAGACCCTCTGAGGTAGACACCTTCTCACTATTAAGCTTTTGACTCCTGCATTTGTCCTACACTAAAGTTAACTTCCAAATTTCATTTTGATTTAGAATCAAATTCTTTAGTCATGATAAGTCGCTGTGCATATTAAGAAATCACTCCCTGCATGCAGTTTTCTGTCCCAATAAAAGTTAAAGCCCATGGTACTGCTATATTTTTATAATGATAAGCATATAATGTCTAACACACCTGTTATAGAATTGTTTGACATTGATTAATGTGCTTTCATTGAGCACCAAGTATTAAGTGATAGTCGCACRAGGTATAGCTGAGTGCAACTCTACCTTCAGTTGCGCCCAAAACTTGATGAAAGCATACTAATCATGCAATAATGCTATTACGCACTTGCTATTATAATTTCTTTATCTTATATGATGCAGGTTATGTTCCACCTCTGAAACAGATGTGCTGTTGGACCATTAGAGAGCATCTAGGACCCAAAAAATTGTATTATATTACGGAATTACCTATACCATGGACATTGAAGAAGTACTTAACACAGCATTAACTATGGGATAGTGCATGTAATTCTTAATATAATTAGAATTTGTTCACATTAACATTCCTATTTAAATAATATGAAGCTTTACTGTAAATGATTCTGATTTTGAAAAAGTCACTAATATGGTATGCATTCAGGAGTGTAGATAGATCTTGTTTAAAAGAGAGCAATGTTGAATTTTTCCACCTACACACATATGCATTTCATCTTTAGAGTTTTCTGCCATGATCCAAAGGTTCATTTAAAACTTTTTACAAGCCTGTTGGGCAGTCGCCACTTATGTGTATGCTGCAGGATCATAAATGGTGGTGACCAGACTTGCACGCTTGTGAATACAGCCCTGCTGGCATGGAGGAAAATCAGTCAACCATGGTACAGTTTAGAGCTTGCAGTTATTTAAAGATATCACATACTAGTATTTATAATGTAGAAAGTATTAGGTTTTAGCATTATAGGATATGATTGTGTAAAAAGGTTTTATTTTAAGATCAAATGGTGTTATGTATATTTTATTTATCAAGCAACATAGAATGCATTTTCATGACTTTTGTGGGATTTGTGGAAGGGCGTCATTAAGACATCAGCCTCAAGGAGGGGAGGTCACACAAGTAATTGAATTCGTACATTACAAGGGAGGGGCCATTTTTTATGCGACAGTGGAGAGGGGGTTAGATTTCTTGTATGCGTTACCAAGTGAATCCCTCTGCCTGTCGTTTACCCCCTCCCCCCACCAGTAAAAGGTGAATGGTCCTAGGACCGAAGACGCCCCGCGTTGTCTCTGGAGTCTGGGGACTAAAAGCAAATTTAGAGCAGTGCATGGATGGGCAACCAGAACGAAGTAATTCACAGCACGAAATATGACGATGAGCTACCACTCATTCAAGCCGCCAAATCAGGAAATATTGACTTATTAAAAAGGCTGTTACGAGAAGAAGATCTTAATGTGGAAGTCACGGATCAATTTGAACTCACTCCTCTAGCTTATGCTGCGAGAAATGGTCATGAAGAATGCATAAAGGCACTGGTATCTGCCGAGGCCAGAATCGATGGACTTGGGCGGAATAAAACGTCGACCATTCCTACGGAACCTCTTCATTTAGCTGTACGAAATAATCGGGTAGAATGTGTGGAGGTTTTAATCGCTACAGGCTGTGATGTGAACATCAAGAATAATCGTGTTGGTAAAACGCCATTACACGTAGCGTGTCATGCATCACAACAAGAATGTATAATGCTGTTGGTAAGGCAATCGATGGCGTGAATGTCTTACATTTACATTAATTGAAGGAGATTTTAGCTTGATAATTAAGTATTTTAAGGATTCGAATCGTTTTGTTTATAGTACTCTGCATAAGCATGTTGTATAGGATGTAAACTTTGAAATTCCACAGGAAACCCAACCCTGTAAAAAATTCTGCCAATTAAAAAGATTTGAACTACAACCACCCTCTAAAAAATGACTGGTCCATAGGGGGTGTCATTTGCACATAAATTCTTCCACCCCTCTCATTTTCTAAAATCTGAATGCTCTAAAGGTTTTTCATTCCTTGTAGGTTTCGGCTGGATGTGATGTTAATGCTGTTGACGCATATGGAAACACTCCTCTTTTTACATCCTGTTTTTACTCTCATGATGGTCATGATATTCTTAAGGTGCAAAGATGACAGATCTATTCATTCCCWTCCCATCCCATTTCCATTAACTAATAAAACCAAGGGCAGATCTAGCCAAAAGTTTAGGGGGGGGTAATCAA